ACAAAAAGTACTTTCTTAGGCACCTCATTTAAAGCTAATCCCCACCACCACCTAGGCCAAAAAATAGTATCAAAACATGTTTACTGCTAAAAGCCATTCAGTTACAGGAAAACATGTCCTATAAACAGCTAAGGAGAACCTCATATCACTTGATATCATTGGGAAGCAAATACATGACACATACAATGATCTGAACGTTTTAAAATAAGAGATACCATATACTTGCTTTATGCCATCACAGCCTCTGAGCTCCAGGAAAAAACCCAAACCCAATTCTGGGACATTTTTTAAAGGGGTCTCCACTCACAACATATACTTTTGCTTTTAACATCAGCACAATATTAGCAATCCAAACACTAAGTATATTTGACTTAAAAATAAGCGTTTAAGGTAAAACCTCACTCTTCATCCTGTGAATGCTTGCTATCTTCTAGCCATCACTTTTAGCAACTTCCTGGTTTCTGTGCTATATAATGACCACTGGTCATTATAACATTCACAAGTGTTTAAGTTATATGTTTTTTGATGCACTTAGTAGATTGCATACAGTATATGGAGATATATGCGCGGCACTAATATAAGATGTCACAAAAAAAAATAATAGACGAGATAAAATATTTTTATGGAAAGATCATTGGGCATGTTGTTTCTAAACATGCATGTTTAACCGCTTCTGCACAGCCCTATAGCAGAAATACTGCTACAGGGCGGCACGGATGTTCAAAATCACGTATATATACACATGATTTTGCAGTACCGGGTAGAGGGCGCACGTGCCCTACCCACGCCGCCATTCGCAGCCTCAACTGTCAATCACTGGGTCCCAGCCGGTGATTCCTCACTGGCACCCAGTGATCTCCGAGTATTACCGACGGGGGAGAGACCTGTATGTAAACAATACAGATCTCTCCCCTATCAGCTCCTGCACACTGCTTTGTATGGCTCTGCATAGCAGAGCCATACAAAGCAATGTGCTGACAGTGAAACACACACAGCCCACATAGTAAAACAGCACACACTTAACCCTTTGATTGCCCCCTTCCTGCCCAGTGCCATTAGTATAGTGTTAGTTCTTTTCATTAGCACTGATCACTGTATTGGTGTCACTGGGGATGTCAGTGACAACAAGTCAGTTCCACTCGGGGTCAGAATGACCGCCGCAGTCCCGCTATAAGTCGCTGATCGCCACCATTACTAGTGAAAAAAAAAAATTCCAGTATATATACTGCCATTTGTAAATGCTATAACTTTCACGTAAACCAATTAATTTACATGTATTGGAATTTTATTTAGCAAAGACATGTAGCAGAATACACTTTGGCCTAAATTTATGATGAAATTTGATTTTTAAAATTTTATTACTGGATATGTTTAATAGCAAAAAGTAAAAAAAATATATTTTTTAATTTATAGCTCAAAAAATATAACACACAGAGACGATCAAATACCACCAAAAGAAAGTTCTATTTGTGGGTAAAAAAGGACGTACATTTAATTTGGGTGCAGCATTGCATAACCATGCAATTGTCAGTTAAAGTAACATAGCACTGTATTTCAAAAAATGGCCTGGTCAGGAAAAGGTGTAAATTCTCTGGATGGCAAGTGGTTAAAGCAACCAAAAACGCTCTACTTGTAACATTTACATTTAATATTCCAGAGTATTACTGTGTTTTTTTCTTTTTGTGAACCATCTACTAAAATGAATAAACTGAAATTATGTAAAAGGAAAAAATATCTCTAAACATGAGCAAAAGTAATCAAACTGTATTTTTGACATATTTACTGTTCGTTTAGGTTATATCCCAGATTCAAATGAAGTGTTAATTATTTAAATTTTTTTACTCAATAAACTACACAGCATTATGAGAAATTAGGGTTATTACTGTATGTCAAGATGACATAACAAATACATAAATTTGTGTCCCGTGCTACTGTATGTCTGTATATTAAGTAATCTCTTTTCACTTGTTGGCTAGAAATCAGTGGGTATGGGCCAGAGACCTGTGCTGTTCACATTACTAATTTTAATGGCTAAGGTGGCCCTTTTGTGCTCCTGTTATACTTCCATGTATTCTCTAGAACACCTACTCTTGTCTTTTGATTAGCAGTGCCCTGCTTCTGTCTTTGGAAGATTGCTTACGTCTCATGGCTACAGACTGCTAAAAAGGACAGCTCTATATTACCCATCAGTTTTTTTGTTGGTTCTCTGTATAGGGCAACAATACAGGACAATATAGGAAGAGCATTCACTAATTACACACGTGCTGTTCAGATCAGTACAAACTAGTAAAGCATAGACTTGCAAGAGCATAAAGATGGATGTCATTTATACCTCCACAAGATGGCATCATAAATATGAGCCTTGCCTGTGCAAGTATATGTGGGTACCTGAGGTTGCCTATGTAGTATGGAAGTAAATTCTCAGAACATTAAACTATAGTTCTTTTCTCTATCACAAATACATGCCAACATATCCAGATTTCTTTATAACCAACCCTTTCTTTATAGCCATTTTTTATTAGTGCAATCTTACTGCAGTCCTCTACTGTCCCTGCACAGCGTCTGCATTTTATTTTTCAGATAGTGTACTGTGTACTTGTAATTTATCCACTCTGGATTTATAACCACAACAACCAGCAAGAGACAAGCTATTCAACACACCCAGTAGTGTTGGATAGCAGAGGCCCACAGAGATATTCAAGAGACCGACGCTTTAGTACACCACCAGTCAAAGGTGAGTATCCCTCTGTTTCTTTCAAAGGGTGATCTCAGATTTTATTAATTCAACAGGCACCAAGTACAGTGATATCTTCAAAATAATGATGTCTCTATCATTGGACACACCAGAAGCCTCTGAATCGTGTTCTTATTGAGGAAGCTTCCAATGACCTTTTCTCATAGCAGTTACTGGAGGCTTGGTCAAACATAGACAAGCTGGATGTCATTTATCAAATTGATTGAAATTTGATTTTCCTATGTTGTCTCCAAAGCATATAAGATGTATCCCTGTCTTGAAAAATAAACAGTTTTGATATGATCTGTTGTTCTGGAGCCATATCTACTATTTTAGATACTACAATTGAGTCTCATTGAGTGGAAGGCCCAGCTCATCTCGTCTAGATAATTAGGCCATGGTCTAACTTTAGAAAACCTTTCTGGAGAGAAAAATGAAATCAGAACTCTTGAACTTCATGCTTGTTTGGTCAGTGACTCATAAACCACTGTATCTGTATGACAGCTGGGCAAATAGCATTTTCAAGTTCAGCCCTTTAAATCTTGTAGTTATGTTGGATAACTGTATGTAAGCTGCAAAAATCAGCATCAAACATGGAGCATTTTAGGGAGTCAGTCTACTTACTGAAATACATTTCAGGGCTTCTTGAAGATGCTTTTTTGCTCACAACAGAGATAACAGGGACTTAATCCAAAAGGGGCCTTGCTGCCTCTGAGGCCAATTAAGGGCAGCTGCCACAGGCACAGTGGTAGGGCAGCACTGAGGCCAGAGTGTGCACACTGGACACTACACCCTCAGGGCATGGTTGGCACCTCCTTTATTATTTGTTATGATGTGCATTCTATCAACCAATTATGGGGGGGGGGGGGTCAAAAATGGCAAGGTGTCACCCATCCTCAGCACCTGTAGGTGTAGGTATGTTGTATAACAGACTACAGCAAAAGTTCTCCCTCCTTGCTACTCTGGTTGTATCTAGCCTAGTATTCTTCTAAGAGAGCCACCTAATTTCTTTTTTATCACGTGTCCTCCTGACCTCTTAGAAAACCTGGTCTGTAATAATGTCCTTGAAGCACCACAGTCTGAGCACCAAGCACCTCTCATCACAGGCTAAACTTTTGCATTTCTGGTACTTTTTCTCTTAATGAATATTGTGATGGCAAGGAAATATCTATACTTTCAAAGACTTTACAAATGTAACTGAACGAACAAGTGCAGCTCTTTACCTTTCTGCTCGGCTCAGTGTTACCATAAATCTGCCTATGAATAAAATCTCTTTGCCAGACATTGAATGAAGGTTACTTGTCCCTGTGTATTTCTGGGAATTTCCATCCGGCCGGTCCCATACATGATAATTGATTGTATGCTGTGTGTGTGCTTTTCCAAACTGATGAGAATCATCATATATTAATTACACATTTATTTTCCAGAAAAGCCAATGCATTTTCTTGACAATGTCCCTAAATTAGCTAAAATTGATTTTACCATCTAGCAGGTTTCTTAAATATACTGTAAAATTTCTACCTATAGCCATTGTATCTTCCCTGTCAGTTTTTGGTACTTGTTAATGCCCCAGATTTGTGATACTTTTGTATTGTATAAATCAGCTGTTCTGCCTATATATTTTAATACATATAAATAACAGACTAAGTGAACCTGTCACCAAACTGCAGTATTCCTTCCAACAGTAAATATTAAATGACTTCTGTAGATGCTTTATGGTCACCTGCATTATGTGAATCTTGAGTTTCTGTGGAAAATAACTCAAAATTCGCCATGGCTTAGTGGTTAGCATTTCTACCTTGTGGAAGTAGAACCCTTGGTTTACAACCCAGCTAGGACACTATTGTCATTGGGTTTGTATGTTCTCCCTGTGCTTGCATGGGTTTGCTCTTCTTTTATCTCCTACACATTCTGGTTGGTTAATTAGCTTTGCCCAAATTTGCGCCTAGTACTGTATGCATGCTTTTGAAATAAGAATCTTAGATTGTAAGCTCCTTAAGGGCATTGACTAATGTAATTCATTGCGAAAATTGTTAGGACTGTTTACATAGCTGCAATAAATAAAATAAATAAAGCTGTTCTGGGTTAAATTAGAGATTAAATTAGAGAGTGCAGATTTGAGGAGCACCTTCAGTAACAAAACCAGAGCATAATTCAAAATGAAGATCCCTTGCCAATTTAAAGTTTTCCAGGGGTCGCTACTTTATCACCAGTGTATACTTTATATAAAATCCAATTTAGTTCCCATTACTCTCCACACTCACTTAGTCTCTCCAACAGGGGTGGACTGACCATTCGAGCACTCGGGCACTGCCCGAGAGCCCAGGTTCAGTAGGGGGCCCCATGAGATGCCCCTGGTACTTTTCATTGGCTTTTTCATAGGCTTTTTTGGGTATGGGTGAGGACACAGGGGCCCCATGATCCCCTATTGCCCGGGGGCCCCATGAGCTGTCAGTCCACCCCTGCTCTCCAATTGTGAGTTAACAGTGTCACGGTACCTTCATCCTTTACATATTTGCCTCATGAACTCATTTAAATCCAGGGGCATAAATGGCATGTTCCTCATGTGATCATTGATCCTTAGGACTCAAGCAGCACAGTTTGGCATTTCAAGAGCTGCACTATAGCGTGTGGGGAAAATTTGACAAGGATGAAGGTACTGTGTTGCATATTCTTAGTTGGAGAGACAAAGGGAGAGCTGAAAGCCCACAAAGCCGAGCTGGTATTTACAGAGCTTAGATTCTTAGATTCCCTATCTGTATTGAGAAATATGGTACATTCTTTCCATGACAATAGATACTGTACATATGGAAGCTTCCAGACAAAAATAATAGCATACCCATCAGCAGTTGCACATTACAAGCTAACAAAGTGATTCAAGTGAGTTTTAATAATGTCACTATGAGCACACTACACTAGATGTTTGGAATGGTTCCTTATAACAGGTTTGCTTAGTTAAAATAACACATAACTATTAAACAGTTGTCTAATGATTTCTTTATCTGTTTAGCCTGAGCTACTTTGATCTGGTTTGGTATTAGCAAGCCACATGGTGCTAGCCAACTGGGCATCTGGATCTTTCCGATTAGTCAGATGTGAATAATTTGGCACCGGCAGTGCTAGTTTCAGTGTTCGGTAGTTTCTGATGTTGCACAGGAGGCCATTTCCCTGTCCCTGCTCCACTTGTGGCTCATCAAATTCTCTGGGCCATAAAATTTCTCTTGTCCAGCAAAGGAAGATAATTTAATTCTTCAATTTGAAATGGTCTCTCTTTTAGTTCATCTCTGATCACTCTTACACCACAGAGATGTAGCATTTCAATAGGAAAGGCATTTTTCATGGAAATAAAACCTATAGTTTAGTCTTGATACAAAACAGAAACAAAATTCATTAAGTGCCTATGCACAGCTGAATATAGACTAAACAGGGCTGTTTTAGACTTCAATAGCAGATAATTGTGCTGTGTATATAGAGCAGCTGTTCAGAAAATGGAAAAAGTAAAACTTGTACAGTAAATCTGAATTACCACATCCAGGACTGGATTTCCACAACTGAAGCCTATAGACAAACATCCTTTGCATCCAAAAAATCCCCTTCTATTAGGATTATCTCTTTATACCCAGGTAATGGGAATGTTTGGTGAATGTCACATTCAAATCTTTGTAAATATACAACAAATGTGCTAAGGTGGCCTAGTGCTTTATGATCACAATTCTTATCACCGTGCACCAGCAGCCTTAGGCTGGCCATACATGGGTCAAAAGTCGACCAATTTTTCATCCAAAAATCACACCTAAGAATAATTGGCCGATTTTTGCTCTGTTAGTGAGTCAATGGCCGACTTTCGTGGTTCCTCCCCTTTTCGGTGATCGGGCATGTTGGAAAATTTGTGAAAAACTACCAATTTTCGATTCAACGATGGTCAAATTGTACAATCGTTTTTCCGCAAAGAATATGCGCATGAGTCATGACCTGGAAGGAACAGAAGTTTTGCCTGTCATATGCGGTGAACTTTATGACTTAGTCGGTCAATTTTCGAAATCATTGATGGCACCATCAGATTACCGAGCAAATGACGTTTTCGATTTTCGGACGAAAAATCATTCGGACTGCGAACCATGTATGGCCTGCCTTAGACCTCTTCCATGCCATGTCCCAGCTGGGTGCTTCAGATCACTCTCTGCTGTGCACTGCAATCCGTAGAAGTGGGCCACGCATCCATGACAACTTACTCCTGTTCTATTTAATCCAATGGCAACACACACTGGAAACTGTCGCCAAATGTAACAGTGTGTGGGCCGCTTCATTTGTTTGCACTAACGGTCTAGATTATTGTGATGGTTTGAAATAAGCTTAGCTGAGCTGTATTTTTTCTTACAGGGAAAAAAGGTGCAGTTAGCAACTTTAAGGAGTAGAGTCACCCCTTTGCCTCTGCCACCTACAGTCACAGCCAACAGTACCTAATAGCAAATCCATCCCTGATCATAACTGATAGTATATGATATGCTTATGTGATAGCCTGTTATATTGTCTCCTGTATGATCAGGCATTTTAGTGCAGATGTCTGGATCAAGCATATGCACTATTCAAGACATGTCCTGATTATCAAAGCATATATGCCATTGAAATTAATTTCTAGTGCTTCTAAAAGTATTGTCAAAAGGTTTTATTTTTAAAAAATAATTCCAGCCATGGTATATTGTTGCAGCTACATTTGTCCCAGCTTAGTATTTACCATACCTGGCTGAGGCCATAGTAGAAAGTGCCAGCAGCTTGGTGTACTCTTTCATGGATCTTTACTTACTACATGTAAATAGACACAGTGTACAAAATGCTAATTCGTTTCAGCTAATACAGCCTTCCATAGCATGCTATTAGCCGAAATGCATTAGCATTTTTTACACTGTGTCTATTTACTGTACATGTAGAAAATAAAGATCCATGAAACGAGTACACTGAGTTGCCGGCATTTTCTACTATGGACTGACAGTATTGAGGATGGAACATCCCATCTTGTGCACCAGTGTCCAACATAGAACCATGGATTGAGCAGTAGAGCTAGGGTATGATTTGTGTCTTCACATACCTGGCTGAGGCCCCTGGAAGCTGTAAATCACTGAAGTAGAAACCACTGCTCCAGTGATCTTTGATAGCTTCCAGCTCCTGTGCTAAGTAGCCCGTCCGAAGCATTGTGAACACAGGAGGGTAGCCACTCAGTACTGGTGACATTCAGAGAATGGTTTGCATTTTCTGAATGAATAAAAAGCATTCTATGATTGGACAAGGCGGAGAGCATAACATTACTGCCCAGATTCTCCACCTTGTCCAATCAGAGAATACCCATGCTAAGCAACCAAGCCCCCTGTGTTCCCAAAGCATCAGGCTGGCCAGTCAGCACAGTACTCAGAAGTAAGTGGGTAGAGATCATGGAGCAGTGGTGTCCACGTCAGTGCTTTCCAGATAGAGTATACAGTATATACATAGTTACATTGATCCTAGGTGGACCAATGTAAATAAATATAAAATATCCATATCTGGAATTAATTTTTAAAGCTGAACTCTAGGCAGATGTAAAATTAAAATGAACGCATTTTTATGTTAATCAATAAACCATTAAATATACTGTATACAACTAGTATAGGTTTGTGAATATTCCCCCTCTACAATAGCATTCAGAATGGGAGATGTCGGGGCAGGACTGAGAGTATGTGTGCTGCATACAAATGTTGATAAAGGATACTCTGATAGGATCAGAGAGGAGAGTGAATGACTTAAACAGGGTACTGCTGCTCTTTCACTGACCAACCAGAAGGCTGGAGGTGTAGAGAGTATACTACTGTCATCCTGAGGAGATTGTGTTAATCTCATGATTGGATGGAAAGAAATACTATTCCTTTTATAGGTAAAATAGCTCTATTATATGTATTTCATCTATGTACAGTACTCAGCTGTTTGCCTAGAGTTCAGTTTTAACTTTTAACGTCTGCCTGCTATTTATGGGTTGATCGTTATTTGTAAACATGCCTAGCAAAGAGACCTTGGTTCCCTGAATGGTATTATTCTAGTTTTTCCACTTATATGTATCTTCCTAGATACCCTTTCATAAGACTTTTTTTGCTTTTTGAGCACACAAATTAAAATTTGAAAGGGCTGGTTGTGTTGAAATCAAATAGTAAGCAGTGAGAGCTCCACTAATGTTGTATTCACATCGCAGGCTGACAAATTGCACGCAATTGCATAAAACTGGTTAAGCTGTCCTACGGTAACTTGTATGATCATGTCTCTAAGCCGTTTTAATCAATAAAGTTATCTGTCTTCTTATGGATCGCTGTTTTAGTGGAAGTTTCCTGGCTTCAAGGTCATATGTTGTATTGCCTTAAAGAAAAAAATCAGCATTTGTTAAAAAATGCTGTAACACACATTACATAAATGCTCAACAAAATATTATTTAATTTAAAGTGCATCTACATTGAAATGGATAAAACATCATATAATGCTGCTTACAGGTCTTTAGATCTGGTGGCTGCATTAGTTTTCTTTTTTAAGGCTTTGTTACCTTTATTCTTTCTCAGTGATCCAGCCACTAACTCATTTCTGTCTTAGGATGGCTACACTCAGTCATACACTCTATGTAGGAGCAGCATACTGTAGCAAAGCTTAGACAGCAGCACTGTCAACCTGTAGAGAGGGTAATTGCAATAGATTTGGATAAAATGTGAATAAGTGAATAACCAATTAAAGCCTAACTCTAACACTTTTTAAGCATTTGTGGAAACAAAAGGTTCCACATAAATTAAGAAAAAAAGTTGACTAAGCACCCCTGTTGTTGGTAAATGGTTTTTCTCATCCCTCTGACATTTTTGCTAGGCAGCTTGGTTTGTTTAAGGAATCTGAACATGACAAACTTGCTGGCAGGATCATTAGATAAAAATTAAGGAAAAGAAACAAAAAAAAAATACATTTACCACATTTAGAGCAGAACTAAAGCCTCCTTTTTAAAAAACTTTGATAAGGTTTTGCATGTTATTCATGTAAAGTATCTTTTTCAGTAAAACATACTACCTGCCTGTTTGCAGTCTTTTTTAGAATGAACACTGAGCTGTGCAAGCGTGGTTCAGTTTACATTCTGGCACAGATCCTGCGTGGTGGGATGACTGAACTTTTGCATATGCACAAGAGTGACATCATTCCACACCAGCCAATGAAAATGGTTGCATCCTAGCACCTGGAAAAAGCCAGGTAGAAAATGCCGGTGCCTCAGTGGGACATCAGACCATTGAAGAAGAGGTAAGTACTGGGGACTTTAGTTTCACTTTTACCTCTTGGCGCCAGCCGAACACAAATGTGCGGCCTCCCGGCCTCTGGGCCTAGATGTCGAGCGGCCGCACATTTGCGTTCTATTAAAAAAACCATATGTGCTGAGAGCGCACGCCCTGCGTGCTCCCAGCACACACGGTCGGTACTCCTGGAAAGGTCCCGATCTCCTCTTTCAATCGGGACCTTTCCTGATTATGTGATCGCCGTGACAGCGAATCATGGTGGTCACATGACCCTAAAACTCTGCCCCGCCTCCCGACTTCTGGAACACTTAAAGGGCTGGGAGGCACCAGCGCCAAGGGGTTAAGGAGTAACATTTAGGTTTAGATTGCA